TCATATCAACAAAAACAACGAGAAATTCCATTCATACTCAACGCGCCTTTTCAACGAGTTTGACTATAGAAAATGAATTGTTCAAAAAAAGACAAGATTGTTCACTATTGGCATACTTTACCAATCGATCAATGATTGAAGAAATTCTTTCCATGAGCTTGATATTCAGTCATGTAAAACACATTTCAATGCTTTTTAAAACTTGTCAGTAAAATTGTTTAGTTTTTATGTATTCATATGTATATACACGTATTTACTTCAAAAATTGTTTTAGAAAAGTATTCGATCAAACAGAATGATAGAATTCGATCATTTTGTTGGTGTGAGTGAAGAGATGTGTGATCAATCGAAGTAAGTCTGTTCAATTGATCAAATTTTCATGATTTAAATTTTAATTGTTTGCAGATTGATCTCAATCGAGGTTGCCTATGAAATGAGAAAATATTGAACAGTCATCTTGTTCTACTATGGGACTTATCAGTAGCGCAGATCTACGAACTCAATCAATCCGCGATATAGCACTACCGTCAACCATTCTATTCATTGAGTAACTGCCACAAAACCAACATGGTTGAATTCTGCTGGTCAAAGCTTTTCAATATAAATCCGATAATCCTCTCACGAAACTAGTCACTAGTGAGAGCATGACAATTATCCCGGTCACCAATTACGTCTAGTAAATGTTGAATTGGAGTCTGAAAGCATGACATCCACAATTTCAATTGGCACTCATTCACTCATTCATTCACTCATTCATTCACACATTCATACATTCATTCAGTTACTGTCAGTAAACGAGTCGTTGTTTGTATGTTCAATGTACTTGAATCTGTATACACTGAATAGAAATAATATTCAATTCTTCAACAGTCATATTAAATTGATGTCCTTCACCTTGTTCACACTCATTCACTCACTCACTATTCAAGGTCACATGTGTTAGTTCACATCATAGCATTTTTACCCATATAAATTATCCACATATTCACGTTAACCTATACATTCAAAATTATCTTATACTTTTTTTTAATTGGCCAGATTATTACTTCTCATAAAAAAGTACATATACACAACTTATCATTAAGTGATTTCAATCTCCATTCAACAAACTTATTTAGTTACGATATCCAACAAAGAACATGGACCCATGACCGACATTTTCCAGTCAAACTCTGTCCTGAGCCTTCTTTTCCATTTGTACTTAATCGCTATTCATTTTTTCATGTCAGCATCCAATTACCGGTGTAATATGTCCTTTGGTCTTTCTCTTAACCTCTGACCTTTCGGATTTCAAGTTAGGGCTTACCATGTAGGAGGTTGGGTGCTTTACGTATTGTATGTCCTATTTACTTCCAGCACTTTTCCTCAATTTCTTCCTCCGCTGTAATCTTGTTTGTTCTCTCCCACAATAGGGTTGCTGCTGATTGTGTCTGGCCATAGGATCCCCAATAGATTACATAAGAGAACTGTCTTTTGGATGGTTTGAGCTACTTATTTCGATTAGCATTTTTGTAGCAGGTTACTTTTCCACGAGATGGGGTCGCTAACCCCATGCCCAAGCCTCCTTTGTCCTGGCAGAAATCCATGAAATCACTGACAAGTGGAGTGAGTCATGTTGGTAGATGTAGGCTATCTGAATGGGGTCCGCGAGTCGAAAGTCACCAATGGTTAGAGACCTTGAACAACATCGCTCAGAATCGTTTACAATGGCGCAGGTGCATCCACTCTTTGTGTTTTATGAAATTCTAACCTTCTGAATTCCTCATAATCTCTGTCCTTCCCCTCCTAAATTTATCTCACTGAATTATACTTTTCGCATCATATCTTCGCTCCCTAATCTTCTCCATTACTGCTAATAATTCTACTATCGCTATCACTCTTGAATTTGAACTGACAGTTACGTCTCTGTGCTGATGTGGTATGGCAACCTGAACTGATGTACTTATGTACGAAGTTCTGCGTTGTATCTGTCTGTCTGTCTGTCTCCTTTATCCGAGCTTGATGCCGGCGGTTACATCAGAGGACCTACAGGAAGAGTTGTCTTTGGATGGTGGATTTTGTAATTCTCCAGAGTTCTGCTCTATACAACCGAATAGTTTTAACGTTCACATTGAAAATTATAACTACATTTTGGGTTGACAGTTGTTTCTAATTCCCCTCCGCCTGGAGCCCTTCTACATTCGATATCACTCCTAAACCCGGATAAAGCAGGAAGGTTCGGTTCACGGTCAAATCTGATATTATGGAATGGTTAGTATCATATACTATACATTGTGGATTTAATTTGGGAAATCTATGATCACAATTTATCATATCGTGTCAAATTCTCCACCTTAAATCATTATCTAAATATAACAATCTACTGTGTCCAACTTTTATTATGAAAGTTACGAAGTGATGCGAAGAGTTCAAATGTCATGAACGATTGTGAGTCAATTCAATTCCATACCGATTGTCAGTATAATCGACATACCGAAGTAATCATAATTTGTGTATAAGAGGTGTGTGTGAAACGAACATGGCGCTTGTGAATATTTCAATGTTACACATTCGTGAAATCATGAATCGATCAATGTTAGACCACGATTAGAAATCCACAAGCACTGGACGGCCGTTTCGTCCTGGTATGGGACTACTCAGCAGTGCGCATTCACGACTCCTGCACCCCGCAGGATTCGAACGCAGGACCTTCGGTGTTGTAGTCGAACGCCTAACCATCGGACTACACAGTCTTCGGTGTTAATGTCCAACTTGATCAATTCACGGAGTTGCGCAACCTCATACACAGTCTTCGGTAGACACTGCCTACACCCGAACAGGTTGAACTTCACTGGTCACGTCTTCTTACTAGAACTCGGAAAAGATTCCTCACGAAGCTAGTCACTAGTGAGCACAGGTAATTTTTGTTACGGGGTTGTGAAGATTGTTAAGTTACACATTTTTGAAACCATGAATCGATCAATGTTAGATCACCATTAGAAACCTGGAAGCACTGGACGGCCGTTTCGTCCTGATATAGGACTCCATCCACACCGTTAGATACCGGCTCAGTGGTCGGATGGTTAGGGCGCTCGCGTGCCATACCGAAGGTCCTGGGTTCTGATCCTGCGGGGTGCAGGAGTCGTGGATGCGCACTGCTGATGATTCAGTCCTATACCAGAACGAAACGGCCGTCTTTCAGTGATTCCAGGTTTCTAATGGTGGTCTGACATTGGTCGATTCATGGCTTGAAAAATGTGTAACTTAACAATCTTCACAACTCCGTAATGCAAATATTTCAGTGTGCGAGATTCTAAAATACAGTGTTGGCATTTTTCCAATTATCAATTTAAGTAACGAATGAATTCAGTAGTATTTAGTGAACGAACACACACATTCACATAAGAAGAATTCAATACACCACCAACACAATGATCGAATTCTATCATTCTGTTTTATCAAATATCTATTTACAACAATTTTTGAAGTAAATACGTGTATATACATATTTATGAATACATAAAAACTAAACAATTTTACTGACAAGTTTTAAAAAGCATTGAAATGTGTTTTACATGATTTGAAAAAAAGAGTTTTTTCAATCAATCATTGATCGGTTGGTAAAGTATGCCAATAGTGAACAATCTTGTCTTTTTTAGAACAATTCATTTTCTATAGTCAAACTCGTTGAAAAGGCATGTTGAGTATGAATGGAATTTTTGTTGTTTTTGTTGATATGATTGCCTTTTTCTTCAGATGAATTATGAAAAACTTGATTTTTTCAATCTCAAACAACATCATTGAACTCGTACTTCATATTGAAGTAACTCTAGATGAAGTCCGTCTAGGCTTACTGCCAAACCCAAGTCTGGTGAATAAAGGAGCAAGGTTTGGTATGGGGGTAACAGGCCTGAACAACTAAGTAGTAAGTACGACCATAGATCAGCATTCAAGTTGCCATACAGCATTAGCACATAGCACAATTGTCAGTTCAAATCCCATTAGGGATAGAGGTAGTATTGTGGTGCGAGCTACTTATAAGTAGTATATGACGTGAGTGTCAACGTAATGTCTCGCAACAGAAGATGGGGGAAGATCAAGAAAGGAAGAGTGGGAACACAATGTAATTTGTATGAAACGCAGGAATAATGACAATGGATTGATGTTTTGCCACAGGAACAGTCCAGTTCCATATGATGGACTGATATTTTGCAAATGAACGATTAACGATATGGTTTTCCGATTTTACTTAGTAACTCTGTAATTTTTTTTAAATACAATTCGGTTGACCCACCTGTGTTCTCCTTCACTACAGTAGAAGTATGAGCAGCAGTGGAGAAGATTAGAGTTCGCACATATGATTCTAGAAGTTTAATTTAATGAGATAACTTTAGAAAGAGAAAGAAAGAGATGATGAGGATGAATTCTGGAGATTAGAATTTGAGAGAACACAATGAATGAATGCACCTGCGCCATCGAAAACGATTTTGAGACATATTGTTCATGATCTTTAACCATCGGTTTGTATCGTTTTGTCGACTCAAACCAAGTAGGTATTCTGCATCTACCCACATGACTCAATCCAGTTGTCAGTGACATTTCATGAATATATGCCATGTTTTGATTCAGACACTCCCAGCTTTCTTCCAGCCTACTCCTACACCACCAAACATATCTTGTCATGGGCATTCATAACACATGTCCCAACCACCTTAACTGATGCAGTTTCAACAATTCATCTAATGATTTGTCATCCTTATCTAGTTAGTACTAAGTTACTAAGTCAATTATGTTGAAGTAAGTTTTGATGGTATTCATTCGTGAATTCATTCAGTTTGTGATATTGTAATTGAACAATCTTTAGAGAACGATATGATCTAGGGTAATTGAAATTGATGGCGATCATAACCACTAATGCCTTCCTTCATGTTGTTATATTTCTTTCTCCCTCCTATCAAATAAATGTTTTGCAAAATGATATATTTTCACAATGCTTTTTTTACTTTGTTTGTATATTTCAGACAGAAGAGTTACAATTTGAAATATTTACACGTAAAGCTGAAGGTTTCCCAGCTTTCATTATTGTTTTACGCAAACAATCTACTAATGATATTGTCAGTGGAACAATCGACTTTTCCAATGTATGCTCTTGTATTATACCGAAAATAATCTATCCATCAAATAAAATTCTGGAACTTCATCAACCATTGCCAAGTCCACGTGTTTATTTGAAATCATCTGATGGACAACCGATGATTTATGTTTTTAAATGTTGTGCATAAAAAGAGGAAAAACAAGCTTTTTCAAATGATATTATGATAATTGCCTTAGTTAGTTAGTTAGTTTCAACAATTATTATCCAAATTTTCAACTGTTGTGTGTAGCGGCGACTCACAGACTGTGTTCTTAACAAACGAAAAAATACAAATGCTATGAATTTATGTTTATGCTTATTCTGACAAAAATTAATTAATGAATAAAAACATGTTGTTTTATTTGCTTCCAAAGTTGTTCTGGTTTTTTTTTAATTTTAAAAGTGATTTGGGGTATTTGTGATACGCTGCCGCATTGTATATTGGACAAAACGACAAGGATAATGGAGTATTTTCAATAGAGATATTAGGTGTTTTACACATTGAAATCAACAATCAATCATTGTTAGACTACCATAATTAGAAACCTAAAAGCACTGGATGGCCGTTTCGTCTTGATATGGGACTCATTAGTGTAAGTGCGTATCCACGACTCCTGCAACTCGCAGGATTCGAAACCAGGGTCTTCGGTCTTGCGCGCGAACGCCTAACCTCAATATCAACTCAAACGACTGCTGTCTTGTATATATATGTATATATATATATATTTGATTGATATTCTAGCTATTTGTCTCTCGTCAGCCAGGTATACTTGTAATCTTGAGGAATTTGGTTCTCCGTAACGAATTTGACCTTTTTTCACCTAACTTCACGTTAAAACTGAGTTATTCGGGAAGTAACTGATCTAATATGTGTCAGCCAGTCAAAGGCAATGTTGAACTTGGTACATTTATATATCGGTACAAATGGCCAAACTCCTGTTAGCTCGAGCTGTATGATTGAGATACTTCCAGTTGATTGGTCACGGACTGTGCTGACCATGATAATGTTTCTCCAGTTCTGAATGAATTGTGGTCACTTGTCCAAGTGACTGGACATCGCCTCCACTACTATGTTGAGATACTACTATACAATTTAAAAATGAAAGTAATAACTTGAATCATTTTTATGGCTAAAACTTGATTAATAGAGTTTTATTTAGAAATGATAGTATAAAAACGCTACATTTAAAAGCACTTGTATGTTATTTTCGCTGAGTCAAATCTATATTCTAATACTTTATTACTCATCAACACTACTGATATAACTTCTGCTAAATTATTTCAGTTACAGTTACACCAGGGGTATCAGTATTCTCTTTTAAAAGTAACTTGCATGTTTTACACGGCTACGTTACATCAAATCCTTTGATTATTGACTGAACATTGTAAAAGATGATATTTCCGACGCTTCTGCAGTTGATATCTAGTTGAAAGAGGTATGCAATCGGATGAATGAAAAGTACGCTACCAGGAAGTCAGCATGCATCTAACACCTACAGTTTTCAATAATTTTATTGAATGAAGTTATATAATTACTCTCATCGTAGGATTTAATTACACTACATGGACAATTGGTAAAATAAGAATTCATACATCACTCACACTCCGATCAATTCTTCAGTTTTAATACATTATCGGCTTCCTGAGATAAGAAGAGTTCGTGCAATTCACTAGCATGATAACTTATCAAAAATCGATTAGAATAGAAAGATGGTAATGGTTTTGTATCATTCTAGTTTATTTAGCACTCTCTACAATCTAATCACCACATTTCTCATGGTGTATTTCGTTAGCGTCTTACCATATCGTAGGCATTTTATTTAAAGAATATAAATATTTGGTAAACAAAGTTGATACATCAGTTCGGTGTCTCATTTCAGTAGAAAAATATTTGCAACACATGATGTTAAAGAGGGAAAAAACAATGTAGTATAGATAGGACAGACACTACGAAAAGCACCTAACTTCATTACAAGACAAGCCCTCACATGGAACCCTCAAAGCAAAATGAAAAGAGGAAGGCCAAAGAACACATTACGCCGAGAAATAGAGAAAGATATGAGGGGAATGAACAAACATTGGACAGAACTGGAGAGGGAAGCCCAAAACAGAGTTGGTTGGCGAAAACTGGTTGGCGGCCTATGCTCCATTGGGGTTGACAGGCGTAAGTAAGTAATGATTCAACTGTTCACTATAAATTGATCAATGATTTTTTTAAAAGAAAAAACACGGTCTAAGGAGCAAAGCGCATAATTCGTTTCACTTTACTCGATACAGAAATGTTGACTGATTGTTTGTCAATCGATAGGTTATCGTTATAACTAGATGAGTATTGATGGTTGTACTCCTAAAAGCTATTGTGTATATTCTTAGTCTGCAGTTATGAAATACTCAAATGTTTGTATTCTGGAGCATGTAAGCGTTTGTCGTATGCTTTTATGGTTTCTTAAGTCTCTGTTTGTTAGTTTTTTTTTTTAAAAAAACCTATTGCTCAGTTCTCTATCTCCCCTTGATGTAGTAACTCCTTCTTGATATGTGATTGGGTTTTTGTACTCCATGTTATGATTGACTTGGATGTTGTGATAGGCGTTGGCTTCTGACATAATCATTCAAATCAAGGCAAAAGACAGTGAAGTGCTTGTGTTAAGCGAACCAATTGAGTTTGAATATGTTCAGGTCTAATGATACAGATTAGAAATGTAAATGATCGAGTCTAGGATGTCAGGCTATTGAAGAATGATTAGATGCATCACAGAAAATCACTAGGATTCTGTGTGGTGACTGGCACATGATATAGATCAACGATCTCAAGCTGTGATCGCTGTAATATCATTCTGTCATATTGTCAGTTTCAGCCCTCAGAGACTTATATCAAATAAAATCTTCACTCCACTTTATCAAATCAACAGATTTGAAATCACTCATAGCTGTATCGGCTTTGATTTATACTCACACGTTTGACTATACTTGATAATGGGAATCATTAATTTGCATAACTCAAGTCAGTCAATAGTAGCACAGTTTAGTTGTAGGATTGGACAATACTGAATATATGTTGGACTTACTTACTTACTTACGACTGTTACTCCCAATGGAGCATAGGCCGACCACCAGTTTACTCCAACCAACTCTGTCCTGGGCTTCCCTCTCCAGTTCTGTCCAATGTTTGTTCATTCCTCTCATATCTTCCTCTATTTCTCGGTGTAATGTATTCCTTGGCCTTCCTCTTTTCACTTTGCTTTGAGGGTTCCATGTGAGGGCTTGTCTTGTAACGAAGTTAGGTGATTTTCTTAATGTGTGTCCTATCCACCAACTCCACCGCTTCTTCCTAATTTCCTCCTCCACAGGAATCTGGTTTGTTTTCTCCCACAGTACGTTGACAAAAAAACGCTAACCAGAAGAAATATAAGTTGGAAGGAATGGAATATTACATCAAATTGACGGTTCAGTAGAAACAGGTTTACTAATATGTGGAACTAAATATATATTTCAAGCACTAGGAACTCCATACAGAAATAATGAGGTACCAGGACGTACAAAACATCAACCAATATGTGTTTGTATAATATTCACACAATCCACTTAAATGCAAATTGTGTTTCAGAAACAAATGCAGATAGCTACATGATAGTTAGAATGATTGAGGTTTGATAATGGTAATCTCAAATAAATCGAGTATCACATAGACTGTTCATCATGAAAATAACAATCTCACAATGAGTAGACACTAGAATTTTCGACTTTTCTGACAATGCTAACTGTACTCCTAGACATTATAGTCATGTAGTGAAGGAGAACACAGGTGAGGGCAATCGAATTTTACAGAGTTAAGTGGTAAAATAGGATAACCATATGGTAAATCATTAATTTGCAAAATATCAATCCACCATATCGAACTGGATTGTTCCTGTTGCAAACAACATCAATCCATTGTCTGACATTTCACTATTCATGCGTTTCATACAAATTCCAGTGTGTCCCCACTCTTTCTTTCTTGATCTCCCCCCATATGCTGCCAGACATTACGTTTTTACTCGCGTCATATACTTCTTATAAGTAGCGCGCACCACAGTCATTCTTCAAACCTACTTGCACACACAAACACACATAAATATATGCTGTGATGTCTTACAGTAGGACACGGTAACCGAAAACTAACATGATATTGACATATTCTGTGTAAATTGTATATGAGTGGTTCTAGGGATTAAGATGTGATTAATTGCAGTGTGTTCGTCGTGAGAACTAGTTAGAACATTTTCAGGAGAATATACTATACAAGAGAATAGACATTTTCGAGAATGTTGATCCAAGGGAATTTGATTCAGGTGCTCATCAAGAACCTCCCCGCTCTTTAATTTACGGCACACAACTAATGTTTAGTTTATTTATCTGAGATCAAGAGTTTAATTGTTTCGAAATGAGATACAGCAAGACATCATTGCTTCTTCTCAAGTTTCTTAATTTTCTGAAAAAATTATTGAAAATGCATTACAAACCATTTCAGTTATGAATGTTTAGTAATTCAGATCATTATTTTGATATACAATTGAGTGAAATGAAAATCGATTATACATTGTCGCAGTTATGTCTGTTAGTCGAGTAAATAGCTCACTGGTTAAGATAT